CGCCGCCGCTGACTCGAGTATAAGCCGAGGGGGGCATTTTTCAGCCCCAAAAATGGGCTGAAAAACTCGGCTTATACTCGAGTATATACGGTAGTTTCCATCCGTTGCTTCTTGTCCTGCTTTCAGGTGCTTTGGAGAATAGCTTGACTTCCTCTTCTTTGGGGCAGCCCCTGAGATACTGGAACACTGCTATCATGTGTCCCCCCCCCCCGTCCTTCATTAAACTAGACATACCCAATTCCAGCAACCGTTCCTTATAATCTGGGTCAAATGCGCCTGAATCTCTGCCTGCCCAACCCTGCAGAGAATTCACACAGAACAACGTGTGTGCGGGCGTTGTTTGTAAATGTCTATTTTGCAACAGTGTTCAAAGCAGAGACACAAAGCCAGGTTTAATCACAGTCCATTGTATTCTTTTTTCTTTTTTTTAGTCAAAGTATAACAATCACACACCCACACTAATTCTCAAAACACTTGTTCGTGAACATCAGACATGATACATTTGCAGTAACTGAGATACAGAAACCGGAGACATGCTATATATTTGACCGATGGTTCCAACAGACTGCAAATTCTGGCCTATCCATGCCAACTAGCTGCCAGCCTCCCTGAAGGACTGCTTCAGAGACAGCGGTCAGCGGAAGGAGAGGCACGGGGGCCTTGGTGCTGGGCAAATTTTCTGCAATGCGTCACTGCACTTCATCTGATCTGAACAAAGGACAGCTTGAGCTCAGTGTGGGAGGAAAGGGGAAAAAAATGTGCCCTTAAAACTGTTAAGATTTATCAACGCCCAGAAAAAAAAAACCCAGAAATTGGTAAAGTCCAAGGATGGTCCTATGTGGGGATGGATCTCTCATGGCTAGAGGCAACTGGCCAGCCAACACAACCCATCAAATCTGGCTACTGGACTACGCCAGTCCTCCTTGCAGCAGCCCTGGGGTGTGTGTGTCAGCTGAACAGTAGTTCAAGAGACTTTCCATGACTGCTGCAAGGAGTAATCAAAGACCCTCTTCCCCAACTACATTGGGGTTGGCCAACACCAGGAGTAGGCAACCTCTTTTAGGACTCATGGACTTCAACTCCCAGAATTCCAGAAATCCATGAGTCCTCAAAGAGCCGAGGTTGCCTACCCCTGGCCAAATGACAAATGATTATTGCCACCTACCGGCACTTTCTACATATAAAATTCTGCCCATCTTTCAGAAAGGAAAAAAAAAAAGACAAAACCAAAAGATGAAAGGGAGGAAGGATTTCAACAACACACGAGAAAGGATAAGCCCCCCTTTTCCAGGGGAAGTGTCGGCTCTTTCATCTAGGCAAAATTAAGCTGAGGAAAAAAGAGGAAGGATCCAGATGGGAGCCCTGATGCTGATAAATAACGAGGGCCAAAAATGAGCAAAGTTTTGACAATCCAGCAACCTCAGAGCATTCTGAGGAGGATGGTGGGACTCTTTCAGAAGACTGAATGTTCCAGGATGAGGATCTCTCATGCGCATTCTGGAACCAGGGATAGCCCAGAACTGACCACTAATACTATAAGCTTAATTTCCATGCTACAGAAACAGGATCTTCTGGTTAATAATACTGGACATGAAGAAAGGAACCTTCATGGTTGGGTAATGACACCCCTCTTTGGGTGATTGCAATTTTGGGGATATTCTGAGAGAAAGAAAAAGAGGTGCCTTGGTTTGTTCTACTGAATCAACCGTGCTTGAATTTCAAGCTAAAGAACTGAACATTCAGAGTTGGGCCATTTCTGCCACTCTAGAAGGTCCATTTTTAAGTCAAGCAGGTTCAGCCACACTGGATCACCAGCCCTTTCTTCCAGGGAACAGTATATAAACACACACACACACACCCGTGCATAGCTCAAGAGAATAAGGCGCATAGTTTGGGTGGATGGATGGCGGTTCTGCATTATTACAGGACCAAACTGGATGAGACCTTGAGAATGTCTACAATCCATTTTGGAAAAAAGGATGGCTGCAAAAGACGTTTTGGTTATTGGCGCTCGAGGCATTAAGACATACAGGAAGAACCAGTCACAAAAGGCAGCTATAAAATGCTAACTGTCCTCTACGCAGCAGCTACTACTTAATTATAATAGCATCTCTTCAAAACCACAAGCTCTGTTTCTATGATGTGGTTAACTGGGCCATGGACGGTGAAGAGGATATAAACGTGCAAATTCCACAAGTGAGCTAACTGACCCAGCCTACTAACTCGAAGAGGCTAGTCTTAAATAGATGAGGTACATGTGGACAATTATCACCAACCCACTATGGGCTCTGATTTTTTTTCTCTCTAGGACGGGAGAAGGACAATATGACAGGAACAGGAAAATCTCTCCCCCCCCCCAGTAATAATGTGGAAGATCTAAAACAGATGAGGAAATTAGCTGAAATTGGATGTTGCAAGCATGTAAAGATGAATTAATTAATCCACGAAGGAGCAGAGTTGGTTGATTTGTGGTGAGAGAAAAGGTCCATGATAGACAACTGGAATTCCAAATTACTTTTCCAGATGAGAAGCAAGACAGAGCTGTGGAAGACCCACACCCCGAGATCCTAGGGAACAACAATGCGAGTCTGCTGGAAAGAACTTTCCAGAAGCCCAGCCAAAACACCAGCCTGCATGGCTGTTTTCCAGCCTGTGGACGCAGATATTGCTCAGCCAAATTACCCGTTTTCCATCTGAGAAATTAAAGCGGGGAAGGAAGGGATGAAAAGGAAGTATTTGTATGCCTTAAAACAGTAGGGTCAATGTATACTTTTAAGGGTTCAATCCAAAGCGTTCTGCTGCTTTTTAATTTTGTGGGGCTCAAGAGGCCCCCACAAGGCAGAGAATAGACCAACAGAGCTTGGTGACGGCATCATAAGAGGTATCTCCAAAGCATGCAAAGAGGATGCAACTTCTCTTTCCAAATGTGCCTGGCAAAACACCACAATGACGAGATACATGCCACCATGCAAATGTCATTATTTAGGTCAACTATGCATCAATGCCATGGCACGATGCCATGGCACCACTCCTTCCATTTTAACACCTAGAAATTTCTCTGTGTGGCTCCAAAATACTTTGAATATCTAGTCTCCACGAGACACCGAATCATCACCTCATGAGCAGCGTGCTTTACAGCAGAACATTCAGGTACTCATGGATGGGCAACTGGGAAGGCTGTGGATCCATCTTTGCTTTCTAACACACGTGCTATGCACCCAACCGTGTCTGGTCAAGAAATGCAAGCACCAGGTTCACTAGCATACAAGATGAGAGGCGGGGGGAGGAGGTGACCCTTTCATCTGCTGGGAGGAGCAAGACTCACTGACTCGTGCTGCTGAAGTACGTGTTAGCCTCCAAGAACAGGGCCTTGAAATAAACCTGGATGGTGTAGAAGAGGGTGAGGAAGTCCTGAGTGCTGAAGATCGTGTCAGCAAGGGCAAAGGTGAGGGTGGAGGGGATGAAGCCTCGGCCATACTTGACCATCCACGTGCCGGCGCTCCACTGCACGGAGGCGACCTCTCCGGAACGGTGGACAACGGAGTCCCCTGCAGGAGGCAAACAGGCAGAATCTCAATATGGGGTTCCTTTTTTTAAATGTAAGCCTCTGGGTAACAAATCTGCAACTCACCTGGGTAATAAATCTCACTTTTAGTCGTTCCCTCTTTCCACTGCCGGAAGGTCCCTGAGATGATCGTGTCATGAATATCAGCCCAATAGCGACCTGCCGTGGAGAGAAAGAGCATCCAGACACTAGTCCCAGTTGCAGGCAAGGTGGCCAGATCAGCTAAGAATAGTCTGCTTTTTTTCTTGCAGTCACTGCCCCCCCTCTGAAGATTCTCTAACACTGTATCAGCCAGCGTTTCTCAACCTTGTGAACTTTGTGTGGACTTCAGAGGAAAGCCAACACATCTTAAAAGTTATCAGCAGGAAACTAATGAAAACTGCCAGACTGGTCTAGATGCAAGGATCATAATAAGTATTGGAAGTGTAAGGGGAGCCTACTTTCTAGAAAGTGGAACTGCATTTTGCATTTGGCTGATGCTCTTGCTCTACTGATCAGGCTAGCTTCCAAGTTCTAGCTGTTCATATTTAATTCTACACAGAGGATCAGCAATTCAAAAATGTCA